GATATTGTAGTACCTCATTAATATTATAATACCTAATTAATAGAGTAATACGCATGATGACTGGCAATCCTGCCACATGGTGGCTTCTTGTTACAGTGTAGCCACACCACTGTGTAGTTACAATAACTGTGTAATACACACCTCTGAACGGCCGCACAATCTTGTGCGATCCGCCTTTTCTTACAAAGTACGTGTAACCCCGTTACGGTTTTTGCTTCGAGATTGTCTCATACACATACGTGCACAATAGCTGCGCTGCGGCGCGAAGGCTAGCTTCCACAGTATTGACAAAAAACCATATTGACGAAATGTATGGTACCTTATTGACGGCTTGCTAAGCCTGTCAATATAATTGTAATGGGTAATATGTAGTCATTAGCCTCGTAGCGTGGGATATTAGTCTTTGGGCGACAATTTAGTAGCTTTCATTCATCATGATTTTGAAAACGTATAAATTGAAACCACACATGCTGCAATCTTTAATTTTAAGACAACAAGGCTCTCCATTCTGCGGTGCAGGGAAAGTCTTTGACCCTATCTCTAAGCGTTTAGTGACGCTACTTCTGAGTTGCACATGAGGTACACCTATGTACCAGCTCAAATCCGAGCGAGAATTCGTGGTTGTGAGGAAATATTGTCGACCTACTTTGTAATATTTGAGCGGTCAGTCATGATCATCGAATGAATGACAGAATAGTGTATTTGGTGCAATAAAAAATTCAATAACTTGGCTACATCGGGACGAAGTTGCCCGTGGGTCAACGCAGCCGTCGAGTGCCGGGCCATAGTCGCAATTCGTTGAATAAAAGCGTGGGCAGATCTGCAAGCCAGACCGTGTGTTGAGTGGCAACTTTACTGCTGGTCTGTGATCCCGAGGCAAGTTTAGCCATGGCGTCCGTAATGTTGCTGGACGCACGAGGATATAGACCAAAAAGAAATCTAGCGATCATCTGCTCACTGCGCGGCAGAGGTGTACAGCTGACAAAGTCGTGGATTCTTTGGTGGTCAGTGTTCGTGTATTTGTTGTACGATGAATGCACTGCCCCCAACGACTGTGAGACGCGACCATGAGTTCTGGTCACAGAAAGGTCTTTTCGGGCCGCGTAGCATGCTATTGGTGGTTTGAGTCACCTTCCGTTTCCCCATTACATGAAGGTAAATCTGTATACCTTCAGCGAGCATTGTGGGAGACTTTAAGATATGGATTACAGTATGTGTCCCCATCACATCTTCTATGAAGTCAAAAATATTTTGTGTAATACAAAATGCAGATTCCTACTAGGGCATGTGTACTGGTGACGAGACCAAAATTCTTTGTCTTTTGAAGTGCGTAAGCCAGTCACTCAGCTGACACTTATCACGATTTTAACGTTCGAGCATTTCGAAATTCAAGCCCCGTACACCAAAGATCTTGTACCAGTTCAAGCTAAGGCTCAGTGCGTGCAGCTTTAGAAATCATTTAAATCTTTGAGTTCAGTTGCAAATTTTCCCTCAAGTCCACATGTCGTTCTTTTTTATCTAAGTCACTATTGTCCTTTTTCTCCACGTTGGAAGTCGCCTTTTTCGTCGCACATGCGTGTATATTATGCTTCAAAGACTTTTGTGAACAGCATCATATTACACGTCGAGTTGCCCACAGCTTCTGCCGTCGAAGGAGCGGTTGAGTTATCAAATTGGAGATCCGAAAGCCGATACAGCACTTTTATCGTCGACCCTGATATAACTTCTGCGTCATCCTTCGAGGCAGTTGCGCTCACTGGTGACTTATTGTCGTCTTCTGAGGGCTTAAGGTTGCTCTAGGCGAGTCGCTCTCACATCAGGTCCGACCATCGATTCTGTCCGTGCCGCCTGATGGAGGACCTTGGTTTGTATGAAGCGTGAAAGCTCCCACCGTTGTCGGATAGTTTCTCGAGGATTTGAAGTTTGCGTGCCCATATTCGATGGTATTGAAAACCGAAAAAAAGCTACCAAAAGGTCAAGCGCATCGACTTGAATTTTCGATGAGATTTATCTATATAACTCATGTTAGTTTTTGCGTTTCTCCGCATAATGTTCAAGGTGGTGTTGTACAGGCGTCTGAGCCGTAACTCAAAATGAAACCTCGTAGCTTAAATGACAATCACTGTCCTAATCGCTATCTTATTGATTACTCTCCACCGATAAAGACTTACGCTCGTCGATGCCACCCGAGCTGAAGAATCTAACAATTTAGTGGATTGTCCTCAAATATTTGTCAGAATTGAGGACAATCCACCAAACACATGGGCTGAAGACGTAGCCACCAGGTAGAGTTCTTGAAGTCTTAGTGTGAGTGAAAGCCTAGTTTGACTTGAAAACCACATATTATGTTCCTTGCCCTTTAAAGCCACGCCAAGGCTTAAGTTTAAGCAAAGTCTACTCTTACCTCCTTGGTATAAGCCGCGCACATTGTGCTCTATCTCCTAAAGCAATGATGGTTAGTCGTCTCGCTATGCGGCGGTTGACGAGTGACGTTCTGCGCTAATGTGCTGGCTATGAGGGCCTCTTATCTCAATCTTGATGATGATATCTGTAAAGGTGAATGCACTGCGTGTTATGAGAAAATAAATTAAGAAGATTTCCTGTAACCAATTTTGTCATCCTTCAGTCTGTTTTTGTGAGGAGAAATAGCGAGGTTTACAAAGGGCACGCACGTGTAAAACAAACCATGACTGCTGGATTCACCTGGCGTCATTATGTTGCAGTGGGAAGTGCACCTATTCTAATGACGGATTATGGTGCTCAAGTTTAAAAAAGATGAAGTGGGTATGTTGAGGTCCTAAGTTCGCTACTCCGAGCTACCTCTAAGCCTTTCCTATGGCGATTCTGGGCGCAATCATGACGCGTCATCGTGGGCGCAATCATGTCGCGTCATCGTGTG